TGGAAACGTTGTTCAGAAAAATTCTTAAGCACAAAATACTTAATTCTAGCTAAATAAGTAAAGAAATAAATATATTTTGTTATAGAAACAAAATTACAAGTCATTCTATCAAAATGAAAATATATTTATTATACTGCAAAATAGTTTATTGAATTACGTGAGTGAGGATTAAACTTTCACTCTGTGCAGTTGCTTTGAAAAAAATCCACACCCACAAATACAAGTGTAAGGATAAGTGTGTGCTCGTCTTAGCAATTTGCTCAGTTCATTTTTAGGTAAAAACTGAACTGGTACAAATCAGGTTGAATTGAATGGTATTGAGTGGAGGGTAGCTTTAGTCTGGGACCCAGGTTTCACATGGGAAAAGAAGTCACATCGCCTACTAAAGCAGTAAAAATAAGAAGAAAGGGTACAAAGAATAAGTCTTTGCAACATATTAGGGAAAGAATTAAAAAAATTTTTTCAAAAAGAATTTTCTTTAAAAACTAAAATACTTTTTGAATGAAAAAATTATAAAATAGCATGAATAATATAACACTACCATGTAAAAATTTTATCTTTACTTCACATATATTCTTATTCCACTCACTATTTGTATATAGTTTCTTCCATATCCAAAGCATCTTTTGATGTATACATACTGACAATTTCCAATCTTTAGCTTAAATATCACTTCCTTAAAAAGCTTGTTTACAAATGCCTACTAGACAGTAGGGCAGAAAAAGGAACTAATATTATTCAGCTAAATGAGTTCCTTTTGTATTTCTCTTTCTGCAGGAAACAGAAACTGCTGGTATCGGTGGAAAATATTTTCATTTCCACCAATACACTGGGATCTAAACATTGCTAACGTTATCGCAGTCTGACCTCACTCCCGCTGCGTCTGTGCATAGAGCTCCCTACTCAGGACTGGAGTTGAGTGCCTCCTACTGGGCTTGGCCCACCTGCCCGTCAGCCTTCTCAGTTCCAAGGGCAGTTGGGAGGATGGGAGAGGCATCTAGACTGAGAGAAGGGCTTCCCGTCATCTGGACTCCTGTGCTGAAGAGCTGTCTAAGCAAAGGAAAGGGATTCCGTCACTGCACATCTGAAATAATGACAAATAAATATCCACCACACTATTTCCCTGGTCATCCAGACCAGATGCCTGGAAGTTATCCTACAGTTATCTGTGTCCCAGTGTAAATGTTTGACAGGATGTGCCTCAAGGGGAACCAAAAAAAAAAAAATGAAGAAGAGGGCTTTGGTGTGATATTAAACAGGGTAAACAGAGAAATTTTAAAAGAAAGGCATAAAGGAACAGCTGATGAGATAAATCCAGGTCCTAAGGCTACCAGCAACTGAGAGAGCTCTCTTTTGTGAATGAAGCCCTCTGAGGGTCTGGTGAACGGGATGACATAGAAAAATTAAAAAATCACACACACACACACACACACAGATTTTTGTATATGGTTCATGAATCCTTTGAAATTCAAGAATTTATTTGGTAATGTATTCCTTTTAAAAAAAAAGGAATCATAGTACCTCCTTCAGGATTATGTTGTTTGGTCTCAAGAAACGTTCTGGTCTTGACTAGAGTTTCTCTATTCAATACTGAGGGATTGAATTTCCATGGAGAATTAAGAAATTAATCTCAGGAATTAGATGTATTAAAATAATTTGCATTGGCTCTGTCATCCCCCATGAAAAAGAAGAAATCTCAAATAGCAATGATGGGGCATAGGGAGCAGAAACCATTGTTTATCCTGAAAATACGAAAAGTGATGCAGTTGAAGTGGCAAAACTACCCCGACCAACATTTTGTGACATGTTCCTCATTTACAGTAACTGGCGCTCTCTGCAGTTAACATTAAGAGGAAGGTAGACGTTGTCAGCAATGGACAAGAACTTGAGGAACACTGGTCTGTCCTGTCCAAATGTACCAAAATTCTTTACACTGGAAGATTTTGCATATTGATTATTTCAAACAATATTGACTTAGTAAAAGAAAGGGGATTAGTCATATAAAATCATAACTAATAATAAATGTCTGAGGCGTTCCAAATAAATTCTATCAACACTCTGAGAAGGGGTCAGTATTTTAAAGGCAGATTCGAATGTGAATAAATTAAAGGGAAGAGAATGACGTCCCCAGTGGGATGGAAGAAATTTAAGGTTTATACTGTCGCTCCTATGGACCCCCCACTTCTCACCCACGCCCTGAGCTTTTTTCATTAGGTAATTATGTGTTTGTTTGTTTTTCATAGACATCAATCCATGGTTAGTTTTGTTTTTTTTTTCAGACTCTGAGGTCCTTGGCTACTAGTTATGGCCTCAACTCCTCTCATTTGCTCATATGGCTGTAAATACGAATCATTTTTCATTGTTGCTCCAGGCTAGGTCCTCCAGAGGACACGGAGCCCTGACAATGAAACAAGAGCTGACATGGTTACTTATCTTGCTTTTGTAGGGTCCACGCTCTGAAACTTCTCTGGTAAGTGTTCAACACCTGTAAAGTTATCACTGATCCGGAAGTAGTTTTAAAAGCATTGGAAAAAACTGCAGAAAGAATTTCTTTGAGTATATGAGCCCCCAAGGCAAGGAATGGACTTGGAAGGAAAAATTCTCTTAGTTTGCTCCTAAATTTTCTGTTGGAATAATACTCAAGTTGAATGAGTGAGTCTAGAGATCATTTGGCAAACAGTTTCAAAGTAACAAAACAAAGGGTAATACCAAAATGCGTACGACCAGATGGGTGTTGTGGGATGAGTCAGTGAATTAACCAAGATTTGCAGATACTAACTACTATATATAAAATAGATAAACAACAAGTTTATACTGTGTAGCACAGGAAACTATTCACTATCTTGTAGTAACTTATGGTGAAAAGGAATATGAAAATGAATATATGTTATGTTCCTATGTGACTGAAGCATTGTGCTGTACACCAGAAATTGGCACAACATTGTAAACTGACTGTACTTCAATAAAAATATTTTTAATTAAAAAAAAGATTGCGATCGGCCAATTATTAAGTGTTTGTGGTCATTCTTTATTTAACAAAAGATAATTTTTTGGCTCTTCCAAGGAGATAAAATTTTGTAGATGCCAGCAAGCAATAGATTAACGGAAGATCCAGGTACCCATGTGAGAAACTAAGGGCAGGTGGGGAAAAGAAACATAGTGTTAGTCTGATCTAGGTTGTTTTATGGAGAGTCATACTTTTTTGGCTCCAGTGGAAATATTGTCAATAACTTAGCCTGGGCCAGGGAAAGTAGCCAGGAAACAAAACCAGAGACCAACAGGATAGAGACGAACAAACATTCATTATTTTAATTAAAAGAGATTTGTTTTTAGAAAGACTAGACTACTTCAACTGCGCTGAACCAAAGACTGCACAAAAGGGACATGGGACATTCTTTCATTCATTCATCAGACACTGGCTCTAGCACTTTGATTCAGGTCAGTTACTATGTGGTGATACAGAGGTGAATGGATTGATTTCCTTCCATCTTGGATCTCGTAGTCCCTTAGAGGAGACAAACATGAACAAAGAGATGTAATTTAATACGGTAAGTTCTATAATACAGTTTGTGGACCCAAAATGGTAGTCTGAGATTGATGGGGAAGGAAACTAACCCTCCCAAAAGTCTTAAAAGAGAAGGTTGTGGGTTTTTGTTTGTTGGGTTGTAAGTTTGTTGAGCTGGGGAGACAAGAAGAAGAGGACACATCAGGTTGAGATCTTGGCCTGTCCTCAGGCAGAGGCGAGAGAGAACAAGAGTATTTGAAACATAAGGGAAAGTTCAGTATGAAAAGAAGAGAGAGAGAGGAACTGGATACTGTACGTTGACATTTGAAATTGTAAAGTCATTCTATGGAGCTTAATTTTTATCCTGGAGATAACAGAAGAAAAAATTCAGCAGTGAGGCTTATGAATAGAGATGTGTTCTAGAAAAAAACCAGATGTGAGAGTAACAGGAAGTTTGAATTGAAAGAAAGGGAAGAGATTGGACTGGAGGAAAAGCGATTGGTTAAGAGGCCATCATGCATGTCTGGCTGAGGGGTAATAAGGGACTCAAATATTTAGAAAAATTGAGGAGGGAGAGAAGAAAACAAATTAGAGAGACTGATGCATAATTGTGACCAATCTTATTTGTGGGTAAAAGGATTCCACAAGTTGGATATGAGTCCCTGTTTTCTGGTTTGAATATTTTATGAGAATTGAGAACAGGCTGTCAAATCTCAATCAAATTTACCAACTAAGTTGGACTTAGATGTTGAGAAAAACTAGTAAACCAGTAAGCAGGGAATCAGAGTCCTGTATTAATCAACTGAGTAACCTTGAATAATTAACTCATTTATGCTTGATCGATTTTCCCTACCTGTAAAATATGGCAGTTGAAACACGGCCTCTCATTTCTAAAACCATGGCTCTGACTACTCACAAGTCAAATCTTTATGTTCTTACATATCTTTATCCTCGCAAAGGTGGGTGACTGTACTCTGCAACACTTCTTTTTGAAAAACATGACAGGACCAGCATGAAGTGGTGAAGGGAGAAGGAAATTGATAATGCATGGAATAAAGATGAAAAGTTGATATGGACATCATTTTGAAAAAAAGATGAACCTTACTTCACATACATAATTGTCTGCAACAATTGCCCATAAGGGATGCAAAGAGGCTGAAAGCGGCTCTCTTAGGTAAACTCCTTAATTTAAAAACCAAAGGAAAAAGTTTTAAGAGATTGATTTAAAAAACAAAAACAAAAACAGACCACTGGCAGACTGAGCAGATTCGAGCAGGAGAAATCAAGAAGTGCTCTAGCAAACTGTGATCTGTGAATCACTGGCCCCAGTTTAATTTCTTCTTGCAGAGCGGCCTTCTGCGGTGCAGCTTTCTGGTTTCTGGAAGTCCAGAGTACTTCCCTTGACTCAGCCAGCAGGGAGCTCCAGCCAATGGGGAAATGGCAGTGAACTGAGTGGTCAGGCTGACACTCTGGTGACTCTGACGTCTCCCGGAGAAGAGGTTCTAGAGTAGCAGTTCCCGGTTCAGTCTGGACCCGAGGACACAGAGATAACAGAGACAAGCAGGAGGCTGGCAGCCTGACGCAGAGCCACGGAGTTGCCAGCTGCTATCAGACAGTGCTTGTCCGACACAGCACAGACCGGTAAGTGAGCCAGGGTTTGGGGTACAGTTTGTAGTAGAGAGAGCATTAGTGGTGCACAAGCAAAAGTGATGGCTTTAAGATAGCGTATAAGCTTTGGGGATGGTTTGTGCTACAGGTGGTCTTGAATAGAATAATCTAGCCATAGTTTCCCCTAATCTCTCTCTGTCTCTAATGTGTGTACATGCATACACACACACACAAACACACACACACACACACACACACGAGACTGGCTCCCGAAATAATTGTTTGGAAGCTGCAAAACAATATTCATACAGTCAAAAGCGCAACATACAAAATTAGAGACAACTCTATACCTTATAGTCCACCTTTAAAAAATGTTAACCTGTTGCTTTTTGTCTGCCTCTCAAGGAGATGCCTTTGGAATACAGGCTGCCACGTGTTCATCCTCACTTATGCTGGGTAACCTTAGGCAGTTACAATCATCTTAGCACGATGCTAATAGCACAACACTTTTGTTATGTTTGTTGCTGAACTTGAGGTCTGCTTCCTATATCTGGAAGTAAAAGTTCCGCCTATGAGAAGGCTTGTGGCAGCCCTCCTGACTAGCGAGAGGCCAGAGGGGAGAGCAGAGCGGTTGAATGCCCAGAGCTGACCTCTGCCACGCATTAGCTGTATTACTCCAAGAAAGCTTTGTAACCTCTCTGCTACTTGAAGGATGTTGCCTCCTCTATAAATCAGTGATAAAAATAAGCCCCTATTTGATCACGTTATGGTGAGTTTAAATTAAATCATAAAAGTTAAGCACTTAGAACTAGGCTTACCATCAAGGAAACACAATAAATATTAGATATGATTCCTTCTGTTATTGTTATTGTTAGTTATTGTTATTACTGCTACTACTACTACTAAAGCAAAATCATGTTCTTTCCCTGAAGTCTAAGTTGCTGTTTAACCCCCAGATCTTTCCCGTTGGACCTGTAGTGGTCAAATTAACTAAGAGTTTTGGTAGGTCATGGTGATGACCTGAAGACTCAATCAATCTGTTGGCTTCATAAACCACTGAACCTCACTTCCTTTCTACCAAATGCAACCGTCAGAAGAATCATGTCAGTCACCCACCACCTGCAGAAGCTCCACAAAGTGCAGTGAGAGAGAATGAGTTTTGGAAGCAATGCGCCAAAAAGGAAGGCGCTAGGTGCGCGGTCAGACCTCCGGGCGGTCAGCGCCTCCATGGTCTGCGGACTAGCGCGCCGTTCCCACTGCGGGTCGCCGGGACGCGGTCCTCGCGCTGCGGGCTGTCTTCCTTCCTTTGCCGAAGTAAATCCAGGAAGTGGGCAGGGACCTAGCATCCCGTGTGTTCTCTCCAGTTTGTGTTTTTTTACTTAGAAGGAGACATGGATAATCAGAGAAGGCCGATGAATGCAGGAGATTCCCAGTCTTCAGGTAAGAAGCACGGGTCTGAGGGCGCTGGGTGCTCTGTGTGTAGGAAACAGACTTGCATTTGGTGAGTCCCTGCTCTCGGTTTTGAGAGTCAGTGCCTCACATTCTTCATCTTTTTTCTTATCCATGTCAAATGACTTCCAGCTATGTATCCGAGGGAGCTTAAAAACAGTATAAATAAATCCATACTGTGTGAATAAAAGCTGCCTGATTTTTGAACTATTTTAATAGCTTCATTTAGATTAAATTGACATACATTTAGGGGGGAGGGTAAAGCTCAGTGATAGAGCACATGCTTAGCAAGCACGAGGTCCTGGGTTCAATCCCCAGTACTTCCATTTTTAAAACAATAATAAATAAATAAATCTAATTATTCCTCCCCCCAATTTAAAAAAAAAATAAAATACACATATTTAAAGTATGCAACTTGATAAATTTTGACATGCATGATGTACACCCATGAAACCACAAAGACATTCAAGATGATGAACATATCCATCAATACCAAGTGTTTTCTAATACCTCATTATAGTATTTTTCTATTGCCACTTTCAGCATGCCCTCCTTGATTCAACCACAGGTCAGCTTCCAGTCACTATAGACAGACTTGCATTTTCTGGAATTTTATATCGATGGAATCATGCAATATATAATCATTTCTCTTTGGCCTCTTTTATTTAGCATAATTATTTTAAAATTCTTTCCTGTTGTTGTAGGTATCAATAGGTCATTTCATTTTTATTGCTGACTGCTAGTCCCTCATATAGATATACCATAGTCTATTTATTTTTTCAGCCATTAATGAATATTTGAATTGTTTCTAGTTTGGGATTACTACAAAATAAGCCTCTATAAAAACGTGTGCACCAGCCTTTGTATGGACACACTCTTCCATTTCTTTTGGGGAAATACCTATGAATAGAATGGGCAAATCATATAGTAGGTGTATATTTAACTTTTTAAGAAATGTCTGCACTGCCTCCCATAATGGTTGTGCCCTTTACGTTTCCACTGACAATGGTTGAGACTCCCAGGTCTTCCATATTCTCACCAACACTTAGTATGGTCAGACATTCTAATTTTACTAATTCTAATAGGTAGGTAGTAGCTCCTAAATCTGGTTTTAATTTGCATTTGCTTTATAATTATTGATGACGAGCATCTTTTGATGTCAAATTTGCCTTCTATATAACTTACTTCATGAAGTGCCTGTTACACCCTGTTGTTCACATTTTTTGTTGTGTTGTTTGTTTTCTTATGAAGTATTGAGAGTTCTTTATGTATTCTGGACACAAGACTTTTATCAGACATCAAACTTGCAAATATTTCTCCAGGCTCTGGCTTGTCTTTTCATTTTGTTAAAACTGTCTTTTGAAGAGCCTAAGTTATTAATTTTTACAAGTCCAATTTATTACTTTTAATAGACCATGTTTTTGGGGCTGGATTGAAGAAATCTTTCTCTAATCCAAAATAACGAAGACTTTTTCCTATGTTTTCTTCTAAAAATGTTATAGTTTGAAGTATTACATTTATTTCTATGATCCTTTTTGAATTAATTTTTATATATGGAATGTGGTGTGGATCAAAATCTTTTTTTGTACATGGATTCCAATTCTTCCAGTACTGTTTATCAAAATGACTATTCTTTTTGGCCTCTCTCTGGTCTCCACACATGTTGGGTCTATTTCCAGACTATTTGTCTATTTTTCATACCAGTACCATGCTATGTTGACAACTGTGGCTTTATAATAAATCTTTAAACCCAGTAATGTTTGTCCTCAAACTTAGTTCTTTTTTGAAACTGGCTATTCTAATTCCTTTGCATTTTAATATGAATTTTAGAAATAGCTTGCCTATTTCTACCAAAAAAGCCTGCTGAGAATTTTGTTTGGGATTGTGATGAATCTGGGTAGAACAGACATCGTAACAGTATTTTGTCTTCTGACTCCTGAGAACAGTATCTCTCCATTTATTTATGTCTTCAGTTTCAACAATGTTTTGTAGTCTTTAGTGTACATGTTTTATATATCTTTTTTCAGATTTATCCACAAGTATTTAATATTTTATGCTACTATAAATGGTATATTTTAATTTCCTATTGATAAATGCAAGTATATAGAAATATGGTTGGTTTATATATATTGATCTTGAATCTTACAACACTCTAAGCTCACTTATTCGTAATGAAGAGCTGATTTAATTTTTCTATAGGAGATGTTATCTCTTCCAACCTTACCATAGAGTCACACGAACCCCCAAAAGGGAATAAAAAGAAACCTTGTGTCTATAAAATCATCGCTATCATCATCTTCCTGGTGATCCTAATAATTACACTGGCCACAGTTTTAGCAGGTGAGTTGAGTTGTCCATTTCCCAAATATGTTCATGTTAACCCTCCTCTAAAATATTTGGTCATACATGTATGTTTCATACTTCAGCTCAAGATTAAGGATAATTTCAGACATCTTTGTACATGGCATAAGCATATGATTCTTCTTCTATAACATGAAGATTATAGCATTCCTAAATACTATGAAGAAAAAAACTAACTTAATGTATATGAAATTCCTTTTAAGCCAGTGTCGCTTATAGTCCTTACGAGGTAAGGAACTTGTGGTAAAATGTAAATCCCCACACTGCTTTTTTCATCCAAAGGGTCTTATTATGGGAAAAAACAACAAAAAACAGAAGAAACAGACAGCATATTTGGCGACATAGTTAGTTAACAACGTACTATGAGGTTCTATCTCGCTGTGGACTGGCAGCAGGCAGTGTGTGGAACAGTGTCTAGCAGTGGACTGACTACTTTGAAAATTGAGTTCAAGGTGCACAACATTTGATTTCTCTCTGATTGTGTGACTTGCAATGATGAGGTCAAACTTCCAAGCTGTCCTCATAATTCACAAGCGTAGGGATGAGTTATAGAGAATTAGACAAGAAAAAAGTGTTCCTGTCTTAATAACCAACTTTTTTACACTAGATTACCTTTAGGTTCTAAAAACAGCCTTGTACACCTCTCCTTCATAATAGTAAACTATGGACATACCTTCTACAGATAGCTCAAATTATTTTAATAAGATGTTTGAAAATATATATAAGTATGTATGTGTATAGATGCACATGTATAAATGTTATATGATTTAGACATCAATGTTTTATAAATGTGTATAAAATATGTACATGTGTAAAGTAATTTATAGAAATTAATGTGCCTGCATATTATGTAGACACATATACATAAATGTACATATACATATAAATGAATTTGTATGGTGTAGACATATTAATCAAGCTTATTCTATGAACTATGCATTAGGAGATACATGAATACATTATATCTGTGATTATACTGTCTATATCAACTTAATAATATCAGTACATACATGATAGTCAACACCATGAAAATGAGGGTCCAAACCCTTTGGGTTGAAGGGCTAACCTGGTGAATTGTATTCATGGGGATAATTGTTTTAAGTTAAGGGATTGCCACCCCCCAGGGAATTAATCTATTATTCGATCGTTTTTAGTTGAAAAGCACAAATCTTCCACGGAACACGTGTCATGCTTGGATGGCTGGATTGGCTACCTAGGAAAGTGCTTCTATTTTTCTGAAAATACAACCACCTGGGCAGCAAGTCAGAACTTCTGTGCCGCTCACGCTGCAAACCTCGCTGTGTTCAACACCACCAAAGAGCTGGTGAGGCAATGCTTTGGAACTGTGGTTGTGTTTACAGAGGTTACAGCTGATGGGAGAGTGGAAATGGTCCAAAGAAGACCCTCTCACGAAGCAGAGGAGGCCCCACTTTCCATGTCAGCTTAAACCATAGAAAGAACTCACATCAGGTCAGATCACATTCATGTCACAGGTCAGGTCAGATCAAATCATGGTACGAGTTATCAGGCAACATTCAGGAGATGACTTCCCCCACTTGACTTTTCAACTGGGGGTAGGTGTATTTAGAAACAAGGCATACACTAGGCCTTTTCCCTAAGCCCTACATAAAGCTATTTAAATACTGCTGCCCACTAGAATGACCCCAACTGTTCTTCAAAGATGTTCAGCCACATAATTACCCAGCTGTACATTTTCAAGAGAAATTACGGCTCCCAACCCCAGGGAAAGTCCAAAATCACAGTTCAGAATTGAGAAGTTCTAACAAAGCCCCCAGTCATGATTAACAGTTGTTCATCTACTAAGTTCATGCTAAATGAAAGTTGCCTTTTGTGAGACTACGTGAAAGAAATAATAAACAGAGAGTCATAGCAGACTGTTTGTCAGAGATGCTGGGAAGAATTAATAAATGAGTCAATTATAGCCAAGACGATCTGGGAGCTCTGGGGCACAGAAAAGAGTGAATAGAAAACCTTAAATGTATACAATACAAATTGCCCAAAACAGAAATAATTGAGACGTAGAATGTCAGAGGTGGTAAGAGACAGAAAGGTTAAGACTAAGGAGCATAAGGGTATATTTATTATTTATAGAAAACGTACTCTACCAGGAATGGGCAGAAGAGAGATTCTCCCATCCTAAAAGGCACCAAACCTAGAAAGATTTACTGACAAGTTTAATCGAGCTTTCACAGAAAAAAAAAAAAAACTTCTGTTTTACAAAAACTTCTTTAGAAAACAGAAAAGAGAGGAAGCTAACCAATGCAATTTACTACAGAAGTTGTTACCGAAGTAACACAACCCCTGACCTTACCATGAACCAGATAGTCACCTTTAAGATCTTTCCCAAGTCTGAAAGTCTGCACTTTAATAAAAAATATATTGAAGTAGACTGAAAAAAAAAAAAACCCAAGAGAATGAGGGCTTTGCTATTCATTCTGTAAATATTCTATATTAAAGAATTTCCTGAAGCGATATTCTGACCATTCTCAGTATTGGATTGGACTGAGGCGAAAACCAGGGCAGACTTGGCAGTGGATAGATGGGACCATATACAGTGGTTGGTAAGTCCTGGGTATATAATTTACACACCTAAAGCTGGGGTTCAGAGCCTTTCCCACCATGGAGAGATCTGAGTTATAATCCACATCCACCGTTCTCCTGGAAACTTCCTTTGTGGTGGAGAATAAAATGAGCTCAGAGAAAAAGTCATACTGCAAGTTGTAATACAAATGATTTAATGTCTGTCATCTTCCAAAGGTGATGCTTCAACATGATTATATCATCTAACCTCCACAGCAGCTGTGAGGGGTGCATAGATTTACCTCTATTTTACAGATGAAAAAAATCGGCGTTCAAAGATATTGAATAATTAGATTATCTTACAATAATTTGCCCTTCTCCATCATATAGGGTATTGTTGTTTTGAGTTTATAAAGCTACCTTTTTAGGGCAACAAAGCATACAAATTCAGTTTGCTTTATGTTCAAACAATGTGGTGTTGGGTTAGAGTAAAATCTCACACCAGAGGAAATTTTTTCTCTAGCCATTCCCATCAGTATCCATTCATTCTGTGCCGCCCCTTCTTCCTTTTTTCCTTCTGTGTTTTGTTTCAGGTTGAAAATAATTGGAATTGGAGAATGTGCTTATCTACACCAAATTGGGATTAGCAGTGCCAGTACACATTTGGTTAGAAAATGGATTTGCAGCAAGCCAGACACATGTATACCAAGAAGCTAAGACATCGTAGATCTAAGATATTTCGCATAAAATGAAGTTTTTATTCCTTTTGAAATATATTAATATACAGGTACATGAAATTCATACTTAGAACTATTCACTAATGTTTCATTCAAATCTGTAAGTCCATTTTTATAAACCTATTAGATTCTTGGCATTCAAGAAATATATGCCACAACATATCTAAAGGTTTCCAAATCTATTATAGAATAAAATTTCTGATACGTAATACATTAAAATATGAATAAAAAGTTAGACATTTCAAGATATATAATCATATGACTTCAGACTGATGTCATTTAAAGCTACTTGTTTTTCTAAGTAAGAACGCTGACATTTTTACAGTCTCATTAACTTTATTATCAATGCTAGTTGTTGGCTTTTCTTTCAGTTTTGCAATATTTGCATTATTTGAATTATGAGATTCACTCATGAATGTAGTGTAACATAGTGTGACAAGAATAGTGCGTAAGTGTGTTGATTTACTAGTTAAATCAATCTCTTTCACACACCAACCTCACAGCAAAAAAAAAAAAAGAAAAAATGAAACAATAATACAATGAGTTCACGTTCAGACCATCATAGGATGGGCGTCAGGTGATGGGCAAACTGTCTGAACTAGCATAGTTCTATTTATAGATGCAAGGACCTACAACCTGAAGGGCACCAGGAATAGTGTAAATTTGGGGGACAGATCGGGGAGGGAGTGGTTTGAACTTTGTTACTCAAACTTCTTTCTATTTGAGAAAAACAGCAATTTAGGTTCTGTGTCAGAATATATACTTTTCAGAGGATATTATCTTCATGTTTACTCAAGGTTAACAATATCTCTTTGTAAAACATAATTTTTCTTAACATAATTGTGAAACCTGTGATCTGCATCCTATGGGTGCTTAATGTATACTCGCTATTAGAAATTTAAATAGTTCTATTAAACGAATACGTATTGGAGAGTAGGGCTAGTAAGAATTTAGGAAAATAACTTAGTAGAATTTCATTCTTTTATGTTTTCTTGTAGACGATACCATTTTCCATCTTTTAACCTCTCTCTTTACCCTCATTTTCACTTTTTTCCTCCCTGTTCTTTATAAATGTTTATTTGATTATTTTAATCTCAACATGAATAAGGGAGATAACTGTCTACAGGCAAGTAAGTGCCAAGACAGTAAAAGACTAAAAAAGAAAATTTCTTTCCTAGTTAAAATCAACCATTACATGGTTCCTTAGAAAACCCAGGACTTTGTTCTTAAGGTCTTAATTGTAACAACTTGTATTATTACTCCACTGTTGTCCTGTATCAGGAGTATATAAAGCTATTTTTATTGAAAATTAGACTGTAATAAATGGTGGCAAGGAATTTAGCATTTAATCTACAGTTTGTTTAGAAAATCGGAAACTAGATAGACGAACCTTCCAACATTTAATTACCAAACAGTGTAAGACATATAAAAGCAAATGCACATGATGTGCAAGAAAGTTCAGCGCCAGCACAGGGAAGAAAGTGTCTCAGAAAATATAGGACAATAGCGATGAAGAATAGATGTGAAAAACGAATCCCATGTTTCTCTCCAAGTCAGTCAGAGGAACAGTGGTGCTATTAGCTGATATAGACAGAAAAGGATATTTTGGAATTACTGAGTTTTAGGAGTCGATAGGTAACTCCGGGGGAATGTTTAGGAGGTTGTAGGATGTACTGTTCAGGGACTCCGGAGCAAGTGTGGGCTGGATATAGGAAGTGGATGCAGACAGAGCTGCAGAGATCTAAGCTGTAAGCTTACATGACAAAGGGAGAAAAAGTGCATGGTGACAAAAGGGGGGAAGGTAGAGCTCAACCAGTAGAGCGCATGCTTAGCGTCCTTCAGACAAATAAATCAGCTCATGTGTATTTAAGAAGCATTAAATGACAGTGATGCTTATTCTCCAGCAGATGTCGCAATATTCTGAAGTATTGGATTTTCAAACCTTCTAGTACTGAATAATGTCCAGAATTAAGTAGAAAAATATACTAATGTTTCCAGTTATAGTTTTAAAAATTACATGATCATTGTATTAGCCTTTAATAATAGAGCAGCAATGTCAAGAATCTCTTTGTATGACTCGTGGCTTTTATGGTATCTAATTCTTTCATTACTTAATGACATAGATTTTTTTAAATGTCTTCTTAATATTTTTTGAATTAGCATTAAAATAAAGTTACTACTTTAAAAACAAATTGAGAATCGTGGTGTTTTTTAGATAAAATCAGAAATATTCTCATATCACCATTAGGGGGCGATAATGGATAATTATGCCTGAAGTTGGAAATTTAATTTCTAAAACTATGGAAAGACAACTTCTAAGAGTTAAGCCTTTTTTATACTTGATTATACTTTTTGCTATATTTTTAAGTATAATATATATGCACTTAAATATAAATAAACCTGTATATGTATGCATATATAGATATACACTAGTAAGTTTGAATAAAGTATAAAATTAACATGCTAAATTTTAAATGCTTAGTAGGAAAGCCAGATGTTCAAAACAACTTAATGTAAATGAGGAAAAATATATATTCAGGAATATAATCTCCTCACTGTGTGAGAGTGAATACGATACTTCATTTGACTTAAGAGAGGCTCGCTTGGAAATGGGAATGCAAACTCAATTGATATATGGTATCTGTGGACATTTGTTCCTAGAGTAATAATTTAATACCTATGCATGATGTCATATTAAGAATTTATTGATTCTTTTTATCTTCTTGGAGTTCTGCTTTTGGCTAGTTCTAAATCATCTCAAACTTCCCACCCTTGAGTTGCTGTACCATTTGATGTGCATTTCATCTATTAAAATAATCCCAATTTATTTGTCTTTGTCTTCTGAGAAATAGTCAACAAATTTCTAAGAATTAAAAAAAAATCAGTGGGAAAGTAATGATATGGGCAGAAAGGAAGTCCCCAGAAGAATGAAGAAGAAAAGTAGAGTGGACAGTTCCTCCTCCTTAGCCAGGGGTGTTCAGACACGTTCACTCTGCTGAGCTGACTGCTTGGTGAACCGGAAGCAATCCTGTCTGTGCAGGGCAGACTCAGTAAGGCCCACCTTCCCGTGTGGACCTAACGCCAAAGAAGAACAAGAGGGAGTGGCTGGTGTGAAGATGCAACTGGTCCTCTTCTTTATTTTCACACGTCTAGGCTCCCCAGTGTTAGATCTTTTTTGGTTGGTAGAGCTAATGCATCAAATGAGGTGGAAAATGATTAATTCAAAGAAGGGCCAGGGAGCAAGGGGAGCAGAAATGACATATTAAAAAGGATTTCAGGAGCAAACCTAAGCTATTTTTCCCTTCTGGGGGACTGGAGGCAGATGTCACAGTCAGTTCTAATGGGGGTCCAAGTGGGAAGTAGAAAGTGGCCTCATTAAAAGCCTTACCTGGTGAAGCAATAATTTTCCCCAACTGTGAACATACGCAAAAAGCATAAACACACGTACATTCCAAAAGAAGTCTAAAAGCTTAAAGATAAAAGCTTTTAAAATGCCATAAATTATAATTGTCCAGTTTATTCCTAGAGATTTTTCCACTGAGACTCTTCTAATTTACATATTATTTCATATACTCCCCTCCCAGGTAGGATCACTATATAATTTAAAACATTAATTCGGAGGAATGCGTGATCTAAAAATGACTTTAGATGTTGTGATTCAGGCAATCTAGTCCTTCAAAAATATACATATATGGATGTATATATGGAAATAGTACGACAAGCTTTGTTTTTATGAGGATTTTTAGACATGACTAATTAAAATCATAACAATTTTCCTCAGATCTCTTAATCTTTCATCATTTCCCTCTGCTTCCCTTCAATAATTTCTATAATTTTTTTCCACGTTTCTCAAATGTTCCTAATAAAATAGTATGTATTTTTGTATTCATTATATTAAGTAAACATGATTTTGTGTTCTTTGTGCTTAATTTTTTGAGTCAAAAGTTTTATATTTCATTCCTTATAAATTGTAATTGCTTCTGTTCATACATATGAATTTGAAACAAGTATTTTTTAAAATTCTTGTATGATCTTGAAGTTTTACTCTTAGTGTATCTAAGACCTTAAAGTAGTTCCATTGGTGAACTTATAGTCAATCAACAAACATCACTGGAGAGACTCTCTGCTCCAAGTCTCAATGTAGGTTCTTGGTTAAAAACACAAACAAGCAACAACCTAGGAAATTTCATTTATTGGCCCATATACATCTAACACTGACACTTATTTTGAAAAAAGAAAAACAGAATGATTTTATTTCTCTGTATGAAGGTTATGATTATCTAGACTAGAGAAGACTAGTAGTAAAAGTCTTGCTGGGAAAGTCAGAATATGTTACAAATACATAATCAACAACGTACAAAGTACTTATTTATCATCCATTCTGCATCAGGCACCTAGTTCACACAGTGACAAGGATTATTGACCTTACAGAGCTTACAGTGCATTTAGAGACACAAGCAATTAAGCAATGGTTCAGGAAAAAAAAGAAACTAAATGTTACAATTAGATCAGCACAGGGAGCTATGAAAATATATATTAAATCCTTATAATTTAGTCTGGAGTGGAGAACAGTCAAGGAAGTATTTTCCTCCAGATGACATTTGATTTGGCCACCTGAAAAAAAAAAAGCAAGAGTTAAACAGGTGAGCAAGAAAAAGAACAATGTTTGTTATGCTGAGACAAATGTATGATTAGATCAGAGACGAGCCATCATGATGCATCTGGGGAACTGAACAAAGTTTCGTGTGTTTGTGTCACTACAAGGGTGGAAGTCGGGGAGGAATGAAGAGGAGCTGAGACACAAAGAATTTGGTGGGAGACAGTAAAAGGTTTAAGCAATGAAATACCACTGAAGGGAATTAAGTAGTGAGTGATGTGGCCGAGTGTGAGGTTTAGAGAATCACAGTATGGAGAATGGACTTTCACAGACAAAAAAAAAAAAAAAAAGCATGCAGTGACCCAAGATGACTGGGTGTGTAGGAAGATGTGTAAATGGACTCCAGAAGTAATTACATGATAAAACTGACAGGACTTAAGTAGATGTTTGAATATTGAGGGTGAAAAGATGGAAGATGTCATGAAACCCTAGAAATACGGGTTTGGGAGTCAACAATAAACGGATAGCAATTGAAGTTACAGAGTAACTTACAACCAATGATTGCATATGATAGAGGACCCACTAAAACTCTGAGGAATATTAATATTTAAGAGATCAGAAAAGGAAAGAGACCTGCAGAAAAGACTGAGGAGGGATGGATGGAGAGGTAGAGAGAAATTCAAGAGAGCATCGTGTCGTCGACGCTAAGGTCAGAGAACATCTCAAGAAGAAAGGATCGCTTGACGAAGAGCAACGTTTTTGAGAGTTAAAAGGAAGCCTAGGAAAAGCAGAAACAGATTTTAGAAGAACTTGGAGTGGGAGGCAGAAAGAGGAAAAAGGAAGCCTAAAAATTTTTAGGAAATTTGACTCCAAAGGGGTGAGAAAAATTGGGCAGGAACTAAAAGCCACATGTGGTTAGTGAAAATTTTTCTTGTTGCTCCCACGTTTAATTACTGATAGAAAAGGAAGCATAAGAAGACTGAGGAAATGGTGAGAAATGGGTCTCCTCAAAAAAACTAAAATGGATGCAGTCATGACTAGAAACTCGGAGGACTTGGATATTTGATTTAGACAGAAAGAAAGATAGCTCTTTTTTTGGAAATAGGAGGAGAGGACAAACTAATAAATAAGATACAGATACAGGTGTAGACTCAGTGGTAGAAAGTTCAAGAATATATCATCCGATGGCTTCTTTAAAAAAAAAATTAAATGCTCTCCCCCTAATGTGAATGAGAGGTATAGAGAGAGAATTATTGAGGAGACTAAAGGATACTTTGTCTGAAACAGCCACTATCATGCAGGGAGGATGACTAGGGAAATACAGTTCTAGGTAGAAACAAAGAGTCAGTTAAGGCTGACAGCCCTGGTGGATTGTGACACAAATCTACACTCTTACCATCAATCATTATCACTATAATATTTGTTGTAAAAACAAAGTGTTTCCACAAAAATATATAAATTTTTTTAACTCGCACTTTTTTTTATAGGCAGGATACCTGGGATCAATTCAGAGGTCATCATCTGTGGATGAAGAGATCACATTTTGACAAATCCAGTAACTCTGAAGGAGACACTTTTCAGCAAAAACACCCTTCTTGGTTATCACAGCACAGGCGTTACCTTCAACCTCTCCCTGAACTTCAAATCTATCGAGGAAAACAACGTTAGCGACGCCCATGGAAGCTGGACTCTTTCCCAGACATGAGTCCTCCCTCGGCCAAAAGCACACAAAAGCACAACTGTGTGGTGCCTGTGTTTCTTCTCTCAGGAGAATGTACTCTCCAAGCTGGAGTCTAAGACACTGTAATAGTCAGACAGGGAATGTACATTCAAAACAATTTCTTTTATGAAGGAATTCCTCCAAATAGTTTCTTAACCAAATAACGGTCATTTGTAAATAGAAATACTACATGGAATTAAAATGAAAATAAAAATGTAAGAAACACTGGTGAAAGGTAAGAAATCCGTGTGATAGTATGAAAAGGAAAGGTCTTAGGGACGGCAGCCGTCTGCGGGTGTGCCCCGCCCCTACACTTCCTAGGTTAAAATCCTAACTCCTTGAAGTGACAGTGTGAGGAATTAGGACCTTTGAGAGGTGCTTAAATTATGAAGGTGGGATTAGTTCCTTATAAAAGGGTCTCTAGAGAGCTCCCTGGCCCCTTCCACCGTATGGGGACATGGTGAGAAGGCTCCGGCTACAAACCAGGAGCCCTCACCCAAACACAGTCATTCTCCCGCCTTGCTCTGGGAATCCCACCCTCCAGAACTGTCGAAATACGTCCCTGTTGTGTATAAGCTACTTAGTCTGTGGGATTTTGTTATAGCATTCTGAACAGACTAAGATCTTCTAAAAACCTCCTCTCACTATTTGTCTCTGATGATCTTCCTCGTTCTTACAAAAGGTCCTGAGAAAGAAGAACACTCTTTGGCACACCTAGACTCCACCTGCTAAAGACGCAACAGCGACTCCAGACCGGATGAGGAGGGGGAGGAGTTAGAGAGAGGAGGAGGGGAGAAGATCAATCCCCTTCAAAATTTTTAAACTCACATGGACACCCCAACAAGAGTATTTCTGTGCTCGTGTGTAAATAAGGATGTACCCAACCCCCTCACCCTTAACACAGAAGGAAACTGCCCCTAAATTCTGTTTCTTTTCCTGTCTTCAACAAATAAGCCACAAGAAATCTTAAAAATCAGAAAATACTCAAAGAACCAGATTAGCAAATTAATCATTCTAAGCAAGTCTGAATGTGGGTTGACGGAACATCACTTTAAAAATACGGGAATAGATTTCTACTAGACATAATCAAAGGTAAAAATTTTAAATTAATTTAGTGTGTGTGGTATACAGAGATTATGACATGTGTGGGTACAGAACATAAATTTTAACAGGAGAGACTGTAAATAGTCTCTGGGTAAGAACATTCATTCATTCATTCATATTCACTCATGCATTTGTAGGGTGATTTTCTTAATATTTCCCAACAATTGAAGTCATTAATCAAAATAATGATACTAGTACTAAAAAAAATACTAATCAAAATAAAGATTATTCTGTAAATCTTTAAGAAACACTTTGTAAGAATTTAAATTAGAGACTTCTACATTGACCATGATTTTCCATTTATAGCATTATTTCCATTTATAGCATTATCTGTAAATTAAAAGAAAGTCCAAATATGAAACTACATTAGCTTAGGAGCTTTTATTTCACTAAGGCAAATTTCCTGCCCGTTTGCACACTAATAATAATTAAAGTCTTCAATCTGTGGGAACCAACTGGCTACCTGGAGGTTCAGGCAGCCCCCGTAAGGATTGGTACCCAAATGCCAACACTCACAACTGTAGGTTTAATGGGGTACTATCCAGCCAGGTCCATGCCTTTTGTGGATATGTAATGTTCAATCCGATCCAAAAGTAAATCCCATCTTGTATATTGCTCTGCACGAAATCCTGTGAAAGGAGGTCCAGAGGAAATTGTTACACCTATTGAAATAGCTTCTTCTGACTTTTAATAGGACTTGAAAGTTTTTGATACTTATCTTTCTATTTAGTAAAGTATTAAGAAGGCTGACGAGGTTTCCTATATATGTGTGTGTGTGGAGAAGGAAATTGATAAGGGAAGGTTTTCAAAACACTCTTGTGTACATGCATACATTATGTGAAAATGTGTACTACTTAATGGAGTTCATGAGGATGATGGTATAAATTGCAACTGATGAAAGAGTTGCAAAGAGAAGATGAAGCAAAAACTAGGAATTAATAAGTCTTCCTAAAGGAGCAACAACTATCTCTGATGGCTGACGTCCACCAGTGTGCAGTTGTGAATAAGATGGATGCTTATGGTGAAACTAAGTAATGAAACTAACGAACCCCAGACACTAGGCATAGTGTAAGGTATTGATAACGCTTTCGGTGAGCACCTCAGAGAGCTCCTATCTTTCTCTCCCAGAGATAATGTGAAAGGGTGGCATCAATATCCCAGTGAAATAGGCAAGTTTATACAACCTGTCAAGTTCTGCAGATTCCTCTTAGGGAAATACTGCCTAGCTCATAAGGTTATTGTGAGCACTAAGTTATATAACCTTTGTAACATGCCTACCACAGTGCCTGGCATATGGTAGGAATTTGGTAAGTGGCAGTCATTATTTGTCCTATAATTCTTTCATTATAAAATATACTTATTTCTCTTAGCTTTAAAGGGGCTTTTTTAGTAGCAAATCAGCTCTTACCAGTTCAGCCTTGTCTTGGATTATCAAGAGATGTGACTTCGTTATTGAACAGGCTTTTTGGCTATCAATCCATGATTTAAAGGTTCTGAAAAAGTTATAGCATTTCTCTTCTTTCTGCACCCAGTCATTAAGGCATAAGTTTAGGCTAGGTTTTTCTGAAATAGAAAAATAGAAGGAATAGGATTGAGCAAGGTTTGAGTATCAAAAACCATTTTGGCATTAATTTTGCAAACTAGTTCTTTAAAAATAAAGGTTTTTGCCTCACTTTTAAGAAATGAACTCCTCTTCCACTGATAAATAGTCTTTAGAAGCAATAAATGCCAGAAATAGTCATAGTTATTATTGGTTAATTACTACAGGTCGGATAATTTCCTGAATTCTTAGCACACTTGAATATATGAAATGTTTTTCCTTATAAGAAAGTTATGAAATACATACAATTATTAATTTCATGATCCTCATTTTGTAAATAAAGGTATTAAAGCTAAGGCTAGGGAAGTATACAGTAGGAAACTAAAGTAAAGTTTAAGTAACTCACTCAAGGTCATATAGCTAATAAGTGGTAGGGCATAGGAAAACTTAAACAGAGAGTCTAAATGCCAAATGCCTAAAAGGCAGCAGGAGGAAACTGTTTTGAAAAGAAAGTTCTTTTCGGAGTCCCTTTGGATGCAGAAGAATATGTTTCATAACACTTTTTATCAGTGACTTTGTAAAACAAAATGTTTACCATGATCCCAGTACTTCTATGACCACCAGACTTACCTCTAAGAAATGGAAAAACCTGAGAAAGTTAGTAAAATCAACCTATATTCAGAAATGGGTGCACACACATCTCAACTGTACTAATAATTTTTATATTTTAAGCTGAGTAGTAGGTACATAAGTATTGACTGTATTCTATTTAAATTTCTGTATATTTTAAATACTGCATAATATTTTTAATATCCACAAATCTGTGTGAAAACTTACCTGATATGCTTATAGTAAATGAAACAAACATGAAAATATGAACTGTAGAATACTCTACACAAATGTGAGTTATAACCACTAGAACCTGTGGGAGCGCTGGAGAGAGGGTATAAGGAGTCACATTACTAGGGGGAAACATCACATACTACGTTTCTGTTTTGAATCAGCAGAGCACCCTGATTTTTCACAACCCTCTCTCCAGAGCATTTTCTTTAGAAGTCATAACATCAAAGTGGGCTTTGAAATAATATATTAATAAATTAGATTTTAACTGCATTGGCCAGGTAAATTACCCAACAATATACTTCAGACCAAAGCTGCAGACAAATTTTAGTTTTGCTGAAATTCAGTGTCATAAAC